CTTCGGATGATCGACGAAGAGATGCTGAAGAATGAATGCAAAGTCAATAATAGTATACACCGACTGAAGATAATGCAAACAATTAGAGGTCTGTATTAAATGTTGACTTCAATTCTTGTTTAGATTTTAATTGACATTCATTTCAGGCATTAATGATATTTATCCGGGTATTGAAGAGTTGGATAGAGAAGAAGTTTTGGACGTTTTCGTCAGTTATAGACGTTCTAATGGGTCTCAATTAGCCAGGTATTCATTGTCATTTGATCTTGGTTATTAATCATAACTTATGATTTATAAATCAGATTTTTATAATTCTTGTATTGCTTTTCTAAAGCCTATTGAAAGTACATTTACAACTGCGAGGATTCACTGTATTCATTGATGTCGAGCGACTCGAAGCCGGAAAGTTTGACAACAATTTGTTGAGTTCTATACGACAAGCGAAGTATTTTCTATTAGTCTTAACGCCAAACGCATTGGACAGATGTCTGGATGATGTCGAGTGCAAGGATTGGGTCCATAGAGTAAGAGATCACCACTTTATAACACTATTAGACAGAAAATGATTAACATTTTAATACATGATTACATGTACAATATATCATAAATAAGTTAATAATTTAAATAGTAAATCATAATTGAGATGTTTATATGAAACGATTGATTGATTGGGATAATTGTCTTTGTATGATAGGAAGTGGTTGAGGCCCTCCAGAGTAAGTGTAATATAATTCCAATTCTGGACACTTTTCAATGGCCAGAAAGCGAAGCGCTTCCCGAAGACATGCGCGCCATTTGTTATTTCAATGGAGTCAGGTTTGTGTGATTGATTGGCATTAATTGCATCAATAGTTGGTTAACTTGTTGTACGCATACTTGTTGTGATGACAGATGGATCCATGACTATCAGGACGCGTGTGTCGACAAATTGGAGCGCTTCATGAGAGGAGAGATTAGTAAACTGGAGCTCAACGCTCAGCCGCCGTCGCGGCTGTTCCTGACAGGAGGTCCGGGCACTCCGTCCACGCCATCCATGAGTAGCGTCAATATGAGAGCACCGGTAT